GGTGGAGGGAGAGAACCAACTCCCTCAAGTTGTCCTCTGATCTCCATACACATGCCCTGGCATGAGTGCCCATACACATATATGTGCACACATGCACAACATTGATATAATAAAATTTTAAATAAATAAAATGCATTGGTGGAAAACTCGGGTAGATGAGCTGCAGTAAAGCAAGAAAATCTCTGCTGTAACCCAGATGCTATCTGAGAACATTCTGGGATATTAGAAAGCAGAAGTCTGTTTGTACATTCCAAGAAGTAATACCTAATAGTAACAAGGATGTTAGATCACACACAGAGGTGGACAATAAATGTCAACTTAGAGCCTAAGATAGCTCAGGAAAATTTAGCTACAGACCTGCAACATTCTAGCCCTCCATAATCAATGAAGTTTGAACCCATCAGTCAGCCTTGTAGGAGATGTGGCTTTTTTCTGAGAACTTCACTTTGTCCTTTCTTTCACAGGTAGTGGCTGGTGTCTATTGTTTCTGGGGCTCACAGAAGCCCCATGGCCCCAAGAGGCTTGGGAACAGTTGGTGATAGACATGAGGTCACTGAGAGGGAAAGACAGACAAGGAAATGTTGCCTGTACAGCAACACAAGTTTAATTTGGAAAAGACCTGTGGAAAGTATCTCTCCAGACCAAGAACCAAAAGGGCCCACCATCAACTTACAGGTTAAGGTGGCTATAGGGAACAAGAAGGGTAAGCGGTAAGGGATTGAAAAGTGTCCTCATGGGGACTGGAGAGATGGCTCAGCAGTTAGGAGCATTGGCTGCTCTTGCAGAGGACCTGGGTTCGATTCCCATTATCCACATGGTGGTTAACAACCATCCCAAAACTCCAGTTCCAGGGGAATCTGATGTCCTCTTCTGACCTCCAAGGGCATTGCATGACATAGGTGTGCTTACATACCTGTAGGCAGCACACTCATACACATAACAAATAATAATGAATAAAATATTTTTAAAAAGAAAAATGTCCTATTTTGACCCAAGGCTGGGCATTGCTGGGGTAACCAGCGAGTTATCAGTTAAACATCTTTCCTGGCTGACCATGACTATGGGTTGATAGGGCAGAGAGGGCAAAAATATTGAGAAACAAGTTGCTTTAGTACTGGAAACCAAATTCCTTTAGTTTCAGGAATTACCATTGTTTAACCAAGATGGAGGCTCTTTACCAAATGGCATGACCTTGGCTAACAGTAGGAATATCACTAGAGGGGAAATCGGGGGCTTTAGCCTTCAGTTTCAACTGGGCCACTTAACATCCTGCGTGACCAGCTCCATCCACTGAGCCACTCTGAGCCTGGCTACTTGCTTTGAAGAAATGACAGCACCTTGACTTAGTCTGTTTCAGGGAAGAAAAAGACTAAGAAAGATGTGCGTTGTAGGAAAAGTATGTCCTTGAAATAAGATGTGTGCTTGTACTGACATGATTTTATTGAGCATTTACATGGCATTTGTATTTGCCTGGAGCTATTTGAAGTCCTCAACATGGATGAAGGCATTCATTCTTTGGTTCCACCAAGCACATGAGCCTGTACACTCACCACCTTAGCCCCCTTGTATTCCAAAAGAAATTAAAAAACAGAACTTGTTAAGAGAATATGAGTTTATTTAGTGTGGCCAAGTGGTGGTGTGATAATTTTACAGATAAGATGTGAAGAAATCCAGGCACCAGGCAGACCTTATTCAGCCATGAAATTAACATCAGGACTATATGGAACCACTTCTAGGAGGCAAGACCCTTCTCTGGCCAGCCCTCTGACATCTGCATTTTTTGATCTTTCCCTTGCCCCAGTATGGGATTGCTGGGGGAGTTTTAATTTGGAGGGTCTGTTGTTTCAAGCAGGCACTTGGAGGAGGGCCCACTGTCACCCCCATTTTATATTTGCAGAAATAGGGACAGAGGTAGAGTCCAGCTGGAATGCACTTTGTGACAGAAGAGTAGGCTGGGGCGGGCATAGGATCAAAATTAGCATGCAAAGGGGCTGGGGAGCTGGCTCAGTATTCACTGTGCAGGCACAAGAACCTGGGTTGGATCCCCAAAACCCACATAAAAAAGCTGGGCATGGTGGTGCACACTTGTTATTCCAGAGCTGGGAGACAGGAAGATCCCTAGAGCTGGACAGACAGCCAGCTTAGCCCACTTGGTGAATTCCAGGCCAGTGAGAGACACTGCCTCATAACAAATGGACAAGACAAAACAAAACAAAGCAAAAACCTGGTGGAACAACACCCGAGGCAGTCCTCTGACCTCGACACACATGCATACACAGGTATACCCATACACATGAACATGCACACACACAAATCAGTATAAAAACAAAACAAGACAAAACAAAAACCATAAAACCCTGACTGGGAGCCCCTTCCACCAAGGCCAACACATAACAGAGCATGCCTGGAAAGAGTTCGCACTTTGCAAATGACCTGTGAAGGTCCCAGTCCGCTGAACATGGGCACTACCAAGCTAACCTTTTTTCCAGGCTCTGTCTTTTTTCTTAATCAACTGTCTTTGTTTCTGCCACCATGCCTAGTCCCTGTCCAATTTCTTGTCTGGAGACAAAGGAACTTAGAAATCCATATGGATGCCATTGGAGCCCTAGTTCACCTACAGCACTCCAGCCCACAGTCCTTTTTTTTTTTTTAAATAAGTAATTTATTGAGAATTTCATACGCATATAAGGTGTTTCGATCAAATCCATGCCCACTCCCTCCTATCACTTTTTTTCTGATAACTTCATGCATTCTTTCTTCTTTGATTTTTTTTTTTTTCTAATGGGGCTTTTGGCTATTCTAACATTCCCCTCTCTGAAGAGGTAACCGTAAACACTTTTAAGAATTAGATAAAATCTCCCAAATATTTTCTACATTTTTGGCCTTTGGAACAGAGTATGTTGCTAAGAGGCCCAAGGACATTGTGAGTTTTAGCCAAGAAACTGGCTACTTTTTTGGGGGGTCTTTTTACTTAACTGCCTAGCCAATTCCTACTTCTTAGTCTTATCACACCAGCCTCTGGAGAGGTTACCCAAATTGCTAATAGAGAATCAGGATGCAGACCGCTCTCCAGCCCACAGTCTTAAATCCACACGCACAGGCACTGAGCCCACCACATGCACCCTCTTTCTCAGGTTCCGCAGAGAAGTGGTGAATACCAGTAGAGGCGGAAACCACAGAGATAAGAGCCGACAGGCAGGAGCCTTGGCTACTTCAGAGGTGGAGAATAAACAAAGTGAACTCCCAAGACCCATGTTCAGCATCTTTTACTAAATCTGTACTGCATCCTTCACAATATTCATGAGGAAAAGGAGACACGGAGTAAAACTGGGAGAGACCGAAGATACCTGGGGTTGGGCTGCAATTAGAGCAAGAAAGTGCTGGGTTTGGAATCCTTTGATGTCTGATTACTGGTTTGGCTTATGCATAAATACAAATTGCTGTGCTAAGCAAAAAAAAAAAAGTAATGGATTCGTCTAATCACAAATGCAGCCATGTTGAACTGCTAGAGCTTTGTGCTTGCAGATGAAGCCTCCCTAGGGCACCCTGTCTGATTGCGAAGCTGGGTCTGACCTATTTACCAGCTTCATGAAAAGGAGTCTTCAGAGCCTCCCAGGACACAGCTAGACTGGGAAAATTGAACAGAACAGGGGGAGTTTCTATCACCCAGGGCTCATTCTTGGGGATTTTGGGGGCCATGCACCCCTTAAGCTAGTCTTGTTCATGACTGCCATTTTCACCTACACATGGATCATGAGATACGTTCCTAGTAGTTATACCAAGAACCCTCAACAGTGAGATGGTGGAAGTAACTTCTAGAAAGAGGTGGAACCCGGAAGAGAATCTGCATGTGGGATGAGAATGGACGTGCTTAGTGGTCTGGCTGTAGAAAAGACTTCAGATGGGGAGGATGGACCACCTGGCTATGGTGCTAAGCCACTTTGTGCTAAGCCATAGATGAATCCATATACAAAACTGCTGCTGCTGTTTCTAGACTTGGTTAGTCCTGGTAGGATATTCTGAAAATACCCTCCAAACTCTTCATTATGGCGGGCATTGGAGACAACAAAATACTTTTTCCCCTGAAACCTTGCATGCAAGAAAAAGGAAAAAAAAAACATACGAAAACCTCAGCATTCAGAATTCAGTTCCACAGCTTTTATGCAGAACGTTAGAAAGCTGTGATGAAAGGGAAATGGATTGCAATATGGAGCCTTTAAGAAACAGGGAAAGAACCAAGTGAAATCAGGGTCAATATTATAATTTTGCAATCCAAACTGGGGTGATTCTGGTTTGTTCCGTGAAAATGGAATGGGACAAAAGGAGATTAATTGGCGATCACCCCACATCGTGCCCCCACTTTTCTTGTGATTCCCACAATCACTTTGGTTCAGAGGAGAAACTTTAAAGCACAATCCAGCAGAGATGGACCTAGGAAGGAAGGTTTCCCATGGCACAGGTGTCTGAGATGTACAGGATCCCTGGGGTCTAAACGTGTTCACCAGGGATGCTAGTCAGACCAGCGGTGAGTTTTAAAAGCTGAATGAGCACGGGCACATGGGCAGGAGGATGACCCAGTGTGACCCTGTGGGTACAGTGCTGTGTTGTATTCACCCATACACCTGCATGCCTATATACACGTACAGCCCTGAGCAGTGTAGAGGAAAATGGGTTTTGCATGAATCCTCATCTTCTACATCCCCCATGGAGGACAGCAGACCAAGGTGTACTTATTGCTCTAAGAAAGGCAGAGATGCTGTGTCCATAGATCTAAATAATAGAGTTGCTAAGATGAATTAGAAAAAACTTCTTGGTTAACCTGTGAGCTCTTTGAAATCTCATCCATGACTGTCAGCATAGCCCGCCAGAAAAAAGACAGTATGACTTGGAAGCAAACTGGTCTAATGACCCCTCCTGGGCCATGACATGTGTCCTTTAAATGACCTTGTGGTAGTGGCAGCAATTGTTCTCTCTGATTACTTCTCTCTCTTTGCTTTCAGCTCAGGGACCTGCTCCACAAGCTGCAATTTGTCCTGGCCTACGTGGCCCCTTGGCAGATGGCCTGGGGGTCTTCCTTCCACGTGTTCGCCCAGCTCTTCGCCGTCCCTCGTATCCTTTCTGCTTGTTCCCATCACCCACACACCACCCAAGTTGAGGTCCACATTTTACAGATGTTAGCTTTCCACTGACCTGGCAGCAAAACCACTGTGAAGTCTCTCTGATTGCATTTTAATGGAGACAGGAGAAGGCACTTTGGCTCCCCTTTTGACCACTTAGCTTTAAAAGACATTGAGTAATTTTGCCTGTTTCTCTGTGCATATTTAGGAGCTACTTTTATTTATTTCTTTCTATCATTTTATTTATGGAGTAGGGGGCATGCACCATGGCTCTTCCTATGAAAGTCAGAGGACAACTTGGGAAAGTGGGTTCTCTCCTCTCACCGTGTGGGTCCTGTGAATCAAATTCAGGTTGATGGACTTGGCAGCAAGTACTGTTATCTGCTGAGCCATCTTGCTAATCCAACTTTTACCTTTTCTGAGCTTTGTATTTCCCAAGTCCAGGTCTACAGTCAAAGAACTGGTCCTTTAAATGGTAAATAGCTGAGTAATAATTGGATTGACTTATGCAAAATCATGCAAATCTATTTGTCATTATTAAACATTATGGATAGGGTCAATGCATGTGATACATTGTGGTATGATTACTATATTTTAAAATATTTATTATTTTTATTCTATATGTATGCATGTATTGTCTGCATGTAGGTAAGTGCACCCATGTTGTGCAATGCCCGCGGAGGACAGATGAGGCTGTCGGATCCCTTGGAACTGGAATTACAGACAGTTGTTAGCTGCCATGTGGGTGCTGGGATTCAAACCTGGGTCTTCTGAAAGAACAGTCAGTGTTCTTAACCGCTGAGCCATCTCTCCAGCCCACTATATATAGTCATTATTAAGAACCCTAGAATTAGGTGCAAGCAGAATTACTCAAATACTTTTGGAGACTAAAACAAAATAAGTCACACTTTTGTGATTCGAGGAAGGCTTGGTTTGTCGCTACATTTTTAGCATTTGTGCAAGGATAATTAACTTTAATTCAATTTAATTCAGTTCAAAGCAGGTTTAAGATGTCCTTTCTAAAAATCACTTTGATGTAGAACTCTAAATTTTGTGTGTATGTATAGAGAGACATAAAGAGATTGATTAAAGAAAGCCAGCCATGGTGACACACACCCGTAATTCCAGTGCTCAAGAGACAGAGACAGGAGGATCACCCACGAGTTCCAGGCCAGCTGGGGCTACATAATGAGGTCCCGGCCAGCCAGGCTACATAGTGAGACTCTGTCAAACAACAACAGCAAAAACAAAGAAACAAAACACTAGGATACTCTTGAAGAGATTAATAGAATATTTCTTGAGGTCAACCTAAAATCTATCTCTAAAGGTTTCCTGTGCCACTGAATTTACACTTTATTAGAGCTTGTGTCTCTAATAACAAAGTTCAGGGTTAGTGGCATCAGAATCCCTGGAGGAACTTGTTAAATAAGTAGATTCCTGGGCTCAGTGCAACTTCTTAAGTCATATTCAGAGGCGGGTCCTGGGATGGTGTTCTAGTTTTATATCCTTTGCCATGACAGATGGTCTGACAAAAAGAAACATAAGGGAGGAAACGGTTTACCTGATTTGCCTTTCAAGGGTACAGTCTACCACTGGGGGAAGGCAGAGACTCAAGTGGCTAGTCCCATCACGTTCACATCAAGAGCAGAGGGAAACGAATGCACCCACGCTGCCGGCTTGCTCAGATTGCTTTCTTCACTTTAACACAGTCCAGGACCCGGCCTGAGGAATGATATCACCCAAATTCAGGGTGGGTCTTTCCTACACAATGAGTAGTCAAGACAGTCTCCCACAGACATGCCCACAATTTCTCACTGAGGCTCCCTTCCGAGGTGATTCTAGGTCAAGTTGACAGTTAAACCCACCCATCACAGAAAGGCACAGAAGCATGCAACTGTTTTGGTGCTCATTGGTCATAGTTTAGTCTGATACCCACAGACTAAACTGGCAAAACATTCTGGTTTTAACAGTGATTTGGAGCTTCATTCACAAGCTACTCCCATAAGGTCATTGGGATAATTCACAGACAGTCTCTGGGCTGAACTGGATGTTCAGGATGAAAACATATTTGGGGTAATCACTGGGCAATAACTTATTCTAGATTTTTTTTTAATGTCTTTAGACTCATTTATAGTAAATCATGAGCTGGCTTCACAGAGACACTATGTTCCTATTCTTAGATCTATGTAGATATGCCTAAAACACTCAAAGTTATTTGGCAGAACAAGCTAAGAGGAAAAAAAAATTTGCAAAAGTGTGAACTTATGCACCATCCTTCATCTGTGATCATGTTTTGATAATTCCAGGCATTTAGCCTCTAGACAAGGCCCTTTAAACAAAGAGGGAGAGAGCAGATGAAAGACTGAGGTGACTCTTACTTATCTCTGACATGTGATCAGTGTTTCCCATCTGGAGTTTGAAGCATGGCTCTGTAATAATGAAAAGTATTATAGAATGAAAACACACAGTTGAGGAACTGAGATTGCTACAGGCACCATAACTCAATGGCCTGCCCTGCACATGTGTAAGACTCACGCCGGCACCTATGGTGACCAGTTGATGTCGCCCATGAAAATAAAAGCAGTTCTCGCGTATGTGTATTACTAGCATATCCTAGTGTTCTCAGACATGTAGGTGCCTTTTCTTAAGAAATGGAGACATTGGGGTTGGAGAGATGACTCAGTAAGGTACTTGCCTGAGTTGGATTCCTAGAACCCACTTAAACAAAAGCTGGATGTGGTTGTGAGCACTTGTGACCCCAGCACAGGGGAGGCAGAAATGAATAGATCTCTGGAGCTTGCTAGCCAGTCAGTATAGCTTACTTAGTGAGCTCCAGGTCAGTGAAAGACAGCGTCTCAAAAAACAAGGTGGATAGTGTCTGAGGAGCAATACCCAAGGTTGTCCTCTGACCTCCATGCATGTATACTCATTTTTCACATATATAAACATACACGTGCACAGGAAATAGAGACATTCAAGGTGCAATATTTAATAATTCAGTTTTGGACTATTGTACCCATGCCCTTCCTAAAACTCATCCTGTAGTGACATCTACCTGCTCCATTCTTCTAAGACAGAGGCCCTTCACCTGTCCATGGGGCCACCACTGTTACCAGGTGGCCTCCAGAACCCCTCCTTCCTGTCCACTCACCTCTGCTCAGCTGTAAAGGTGAGGATGGTCATGTGGAGTCCATGTAAGATGAAGAGCTGAGAGGCTGGGCATGTAACAGACCAGCCTATCTGTTTCAGCCTGAATCCCACCTAATTTCAAAATGTTAATTACTTTATCGCTGTATTAAGAACATGAGTTCCATCCCTACATTGAGAATGACCTAATTTACTCCATTTTGGAATTGAATTAGCTTTCTGGCCGGCCAGTGGGGCTCTGGTGGGTAAATTGCTTTTTCCAGTTCTAACATGTTTTCTCCCTCGGTACCTTTGTTGACTTTCAAGTTTCCAACCTCCAGGGAGAGATACTCACCCTTTTAACATATGGAGACACCGTGACTGGCTAAAGTCATCCCATAATTAAGCAGACCTCTCCACATTATCCCTGCTAAGTGTGCATGGTGGGAAGGATGCATTCCAGTAGCACATCCCTTTAAGTTTCTAATGATTTTCTTAAAGTATTAATTTTTGGTGTGGAGGATTTCATTTTAAGTGTGCTATTTTTTTTTTTTTTTTTTTTTTTTGGTGTTTTTGAGACAGGGTCTCCCTGTAGTCCCAGCTGTCCTGGAACTCACTATGTAAACCAGGCTGGCCTTGAACTCACGGAGATCTGCCTGCCTCTGCCTCCCAAGTGCTGGGGCGTGTATAACAATAATTGTGCTTTTAACAGGTCATCATCTGCCTAGTAGGCTAACCTCTTGGCTCTTTCTGTTGGAAAGAATCAAAGAGGGTTTGGGGTGCTCAGTAGTCTAGGAGCCCCTCCAGGGTCTGCCTTGATGGTACTAATGACAAGTCCTTGCTGAGCCTGTTGAATGCCTTCATCCGCTGTTCTCAGAGGGAATCCCTTCACTCCTGCCCTTCGTCCACGCTGCTCCACTACTCTCTAGAGAACTCGGGCTTTAATTTTTAATATCTCATATGTGCATGTATGTGCACATGTGTAAGGAAGCCAGAGGTTGACACCAAGTGTCTTCCTCCATCATGCTCCGCCTTATTTTGAGACAGAACCTGGAGTTCACTGATTCAGTTAGGCTGGCTGGCCAGTGAGTTTCATGGACCCACCCATCTGTGATTCCCCAAGGCTGAGATTAAGCACCCATGCCAGAAGGAGAAAGAGAGGGAAGGAGGAAAGGAAAGGAGAAACGAAAGAAAGAAGGGAAAGGGGAATATTTATTTGCTTGTTTGTTTTTTATTTGTTCATTTACTTATTATTTTAAGATAAGGCTTCCCTATGTAGCACAGGCTAGCCTCCAATTTGAGCTCCTCCTAACTCAGCCTCCCTAGTATTGGGATTACAGGCATGAGCCACCCCGTGTCTGGCGAAACAATGACTTCCGAAGCAGAAGTCTGATCTTAAATCTACAAAGATACAGGGTGTGGTGGCGCACACCTTTAACTTGGGAGGCAGAGGCAGGTGGATCTCTGTGAGTTCAAGGCCAGCCTGGTCTACATAGGGAATTCCAGGCCAGCTGGGACTACAGGGAAAACCTGTCTCAAAAGACCCCCCCAAAATCTGCAAAGATATGAGAGAAAGTGTCTGTGACAGCATGAGGCTTACTCCCCTTTCTAGGTTTTTCATATAAATGGGGGTACTCAAGAACCCCTCTCTCCACCCTGATGCCATGACTTTGGGTGTGCCAGTGACAGTTTGTCAGAGCTCATGAATACCCTACTATTTCTGTGTCTTGCTGGATAAGGAGATGCAGGTGTTTCTATCTGGTTCATACATTTCCTTTTACTAGATGCCAGAACTTTCCAAACACCACCTAAGGAAGCAAGACCCTGAGTGAGCCACAGTGAGGGAGGTACTACTGTCACTGCCTTCTGGGGAGGGCAGTCACAGGCCAGAGCTGCTCTGTAGCCGGTGACTGAGTCCTCACGTGGCAGACAAGGAAGGACTTGCACACGTAGCACCTGCAAGTCTGATCTCTGTTGATCGACTTCCCCCTGCATCTCTCAAGTTTGCTCTCTCAGCCCGGCCCCACCACAGCCACACCACAGGGATGCAGTGAGCAGCCAGCCTGGTGGAGACTTGTCCTTCAGGGGTCACCTCTGCTTCCAGGGACCCACTGGATTTCAGCAGGTTACGGCTGTACCAAGTTCAATGCTGAGCAACTGCAGGTCTATTTCTGACCAAAAGGGGTGTCTCAACCCAGGTATTCTAGCAAATGAGAACCTCACGGAGGAGTGCTAAAGGGGCAGTGAGGCTGTGGCGGAATGTGTGGGTCAGACTGTGCTGTCATTGGTGTTCACAGTACAACACACATTCAAATAGTGGTAAAAGACTATTTGAGAAACAGGGTATGCCTTCCCAAACACTGTTACTTATTTACTTTTTTAAAATGTCATCTGGCTGGGCATACTGGTACACATCTTTAATTCAGGCACTCAGCAGATCTCTGTGAGATCAAGGCCAGCCTGGTCCAGTGGGTTCCTGGCCAGCTAGCACTACAGAGCTTTTAAAAAATGTCATCTAATTTTACTTATTTGTAAGCTACTGAGAGCCAAACCTGTCATTCCAGCATTCAGGCATCTGAAGGAATAGGATCATAAGCTGAAGGCCTGCCTGAGCTATAGAGTGAGTTCAAACCCAGCCAGAGCAACTTAGGAAACCCTGGCTCAAATTTCAAAGTTTTTTAAAGAGCTGGCAGTGTGACTCAGTGGTATGTGACTTGCTTAGTATGCATGTGGCCCCGGGTTCCATCCCCAGGATTGCATAATACAGGCATAATAATGACGATACATAATAATATATGCATTACTATATATATTGGATATGTTTAATACATAATGTATATATTATAATGCAAATACATAGTGATGATAATGATAATCAATAGTAAACCTGCTTAGTACTTTAGTAGATGTGCTGAGCTTTTTCAGTGAATAACCCCTTAGTTAATAAAGGAATGTGCTCTAGTCAGTCCCAGGTATTCACTTTTTGCCTGCCTTGGGCTGAGACTGCTGGACTTTGAGAGGATTACTGGTTTCTATGGTGGCCAAATGAGGCCTGGCAAGTGCCCCTGAGATTTTTGTATTCTTAAATGTGTATGTAGAGGGATTAAGTACCCCTGTCTGTCTTTGGTGAGTAAACAACTTCTGTGGAAAATGTTCAAAATCAGAAACAACTTTTTGTTTGTTTAGCTTTGGTTTTGAGACTGTCTTATGTAGCCCAGGCTGGCCTTGAATTCTCTGTAGCCAAGGATGATCTTGAACTTCTTAATTGCCTTTCTCTCCCTCCCCAGTGCTGGGATTATGGGTGTGCTGCCATGCCTGGGGGAAGCATTTGAAATTCACTTGGTTGCATGATGACCGCTTGTTGCCTTAACCCTGCCTTCTCAGATTCCGCCATGCTTTTCTTCCAGACGTTCGCCACCTCAGTCTTCTCCACACCCCTTAGCCCTTTCCTTGGGAGCGTCATATTCATCACATCCTACGTCAGGCCGGTGAAGTTCTGGGAGAGAAACTACAAGTAAGAACTAATGTCATTGCTGAGCTGCTGTGCTCCATGCACCCCGACACCCGCTCCCTGTCCCTCTGGAACGCTCTGGGCTCAGTGTTTATCCTCTGTGAACAGCAGAGCTAAGCCAGGTGCCCCCCAGTTCATGAACACAGCTCTCAGGTTTCCTACTCTGGAAGAGAGGTGATGGGTTGTGAATTAGTGATCTAGTGGTAGTCTAAGTTTCTCCAGCTATGAAGGGAAAGTATTAAGCTGTCACCTCTAAGCAGTGACTTGGGAGAGGAGATGGACCAGCCATGCACGGTACTTGTGGTTTGATGTGTGGGGATTGTTCTTCGTGAGACTCATTTTCTTCCCTCTCTGTCATGTCTGTTCTGTGAGAATACGAAACACACAGTTATGTGATGTGTATGCTAGATACCCTTATCACAGTTCTACACAAACACTAGCACCATTGAACTTGGAGAACACATTTATTAATTTTTTTCTTGAATATTTGGACCCACCACCAATTTCCCCAAGTAAATAGTGATAGGGTGGGGGTCCTGTTTTTGTTGTTATTATTTGGCACTGGGACTGGAACCCAGAACCTAGAACATGAAAGCACACTCTTCCTCTGAGCTGCCCTGCAGCCCAGGTGTTACTGTTAGAAGGCAGGTGAAAAGATGGGAGCAGTGTGTCACCAAGTCTTTTTTTTTTTTTAAAGTAGACCAGGCTGGTCTCAAACTCCCTATGTGACTGTAGATAACCTTGAACTTCTGATCTTCCTGCCCCTACCTCCCTAGTGCTGGAATTATAGGCATGCATTTTGCTTATGACTGGAACCCAGGCCTGGAAACCATGCCTCGTGCATGCTAGGCACACACTCTGCTGACTGAGCCGCATCCCCAGTCCCCACTGAGTGATTTTAAAACCTCTTAGTGGTTTCTCAGGGGAGGGCTTGAGAGCAACCAGAAGAGAGCCCTGAGCCAGGTGGCTTCCCCAGACAGAAACCTAGTGACACTTCATGTGCTGAGGTGGGACTTCCAGTTCTGTATCCCTGACCCTACTATGTCCTGCTACCTTTGAACCCCATCCTTTTATGCAATGCTTACACTTGGTGGAATATTGGCACTTTTCCTTGGGCCTTTAGGTGGCTCAGAAGCTCGCTAGAGGCAGAACATGACTACCAGTTCCAACTGTGTGATAGTTTATTGAACGTGTGTGCCCTGCACGGTGTGAGCAGATGAGGGTGCTGTTTTTGAAGTGCATCCCTGGGCGCCAGACCTCTCAACTCTTGCAGCCTGAGGCCTCAGTTTTCTCAGCAGTAAAATCAGGTGACAATGGGACCTGCCTCATGGGCTCACGGTAAGGAGAGAGAGTAAGCTAGCATCTCAGAGCACATTGAACACCACATGCACCCAAGCTAGTGTGATCCTCAGCTAGGCTAGTATGGCTGTTCTTCAGAGAACCCCTCCCACCTGGGACTGAGATCACAGGTGTTTACTTGTCAGTCCAAAGCAGCTCATATTCAGGTGGACCCTGGGAAACCTTAACTGAAGCAGAGAACTCACCCCACCTTCTTGTCCCTAGAGGAGTCATCGCTAAGAGAGACAAATGAGAAATTTCTACAGGTAAGGAGTTGTTTGTGTTTGGCTAAAACGAACAGAGCCAGAGAGTAAGAGAAGACCAGGCTTGGCTTGGCTCATCTTGGAACCTTTATTAAAAAGTAAACAGCTTCCAGGCCCGTTGGGAGCCCGGAGAGTCAAACTTCTGGAAGATACAGATATTTTTGGATCAGGAGCATGGCACCTACTCCTGCTTTTAGCTGTACAAGGGTAGGGAAGTGCACAATGCTTAAATTTGATCCCTACCACACCAGGTTTATCTATGATTCCTTCTCTCAGACAGGAAATCATTGTTTCTAATATAGGAAGATTTTTAAATTGCATTTTAACTTATTTTGTGTGTGCATGGGGTTTTGGGGGGTGCATGACTGTGACATGTGGAGCTCAGAGGACAGCTTTCAGGAACTGGTTCTCTCTATCCACCATATGGGTCCTAGGCATCAAACTCAGGTTACCAGCTTGGCAGCAACCATCTTTACCCATTGAGCCATCTCACCTGCCCAGATAATATGGGAAGACTTATCGATAGATGCTAAACCTACCTGGTAGAGTTGGGTAGGGTTTTAATCTTCCTGAGGGGGCATGAATGAGAAAATCTGTGTTAAATTTGTTTTTGGGGGTCGGGGAGCATCCTGGTCCTTGGGCAGAGGAGTTCTCTTATTCAGCTTCCTGGCTTCCAAAATTCATCCACCTTCCCACAGTGATGTTTAAGTCTGTGCTGTCAGTTCATGAGGGTCACATAGCCCTGGGCTGGACTTATGTTTCTTTGTCCATCTCATAGGAAACTGGTCTATTGTGGCCCACTCTTCCATCAGCAAATCACATGGTATAGCACACTGTTCTCCTGGGGGATATCCCGTAAACCTGGGGCTGGAAAGAGAGACTTTGGTATCAGTGGGGATGTGGGAGAAAGTCCACCCTTTCTGGGGTTCTCTGAAGGAGCCAAGTTGAAACCTTTTGACTTCACTCGGGAAGTGATGCTGGCGGAGAATTGTTGTCTGTGCTGACTTCTGTGAAGATAGCAGACTCAGAACCCCTCAGCCCATTTGTTTAAGGTGTCAGTGGGAGGAATGAGCTTGGGACTGCAGAGCTGGGTCTCCCAGGAAGGAACCAACAGCAAATCTCATATGAGCTACTTATTTTTAACTTGAATGTTTCCCTTAATTTGAAGTCTGATGATTTCTAGGGCTCTCTCTGGAGAACCTGTGGGGTAGCTGATAGTTACCTTCCTTTCAGTCTCATACAAAGGCGCCATCCACTAGTGTGATGGATTGTATTGATTAGTCCATCATTTTAAAGGGGACACTTCAGACATACAATCTCCATAGTGAACTGCCACCAAGACACAGAATCTCCACAGTGAACTGCTACCACCAACCTATGGTGCTTATGTGTATGTTTAAGGGATCACTTACATCCCTGTTTTTGCTCTCTTCTCCTTTCTGATGCTGTCCTGGTACATGTCTGGTCCCCTCAGTGACCAGAAGAGGGCACCAAATGCCCTGAACTGGAGTTACAAGTGGTTGCTAGCTGCCATATGAGTTCTGGGAACTGAATCCAGGTCTTCTGCAAGAGCAGCAAGTGCTCTTAACTATTGAACCATCTCTCCAGCCCCTTCCCTCAGTTTTTATGCCAGGCCTTTGACGCTGACTTTGTTATTTGCAGGTCTCTAGTGAGACCTGAACTGCAACCAAAACCATTTTTGTTTTCTTCTGTTTATTATTGGAGACAGTATCTTGCTAGGTAGCTCAAGCTGACCGTGAGTATGAGATCCCCTTGCCTCTATCTATTAAGCACTAGGACTACAGGCATATACCACCACACCAGGCTCAGCAAGACTGTTGCAGTATTCCAGGGAAGTGATAAGCAGGTCACCAGCTACCTGTTGCCTATGGCTGGTCCTTTCACCCCACCGCCTGTCCTGAAGCCTTTAGATTCTCTGTTTCCTACTCCATACCTCACTGGGGTAGGGGGTGGAAGAGTCCCTGGCTATCCTGTGACTCTGCCTCCTAACTACCTGCTGGTTGGTAACTTCAGCTGAGTCATCCCCCACTTTCTGACTCCCAGAGTAGTTTCAGGTCCTTGGTCATCTCATCACAAAGCTGCCTTCACATGCCATTCTTTGTCAGTTTGAAGGCACATCCTTGAAGGATTTCTTTGGGGGTGGGCTGGGGTTGAGGCAGGATTTCAAAGTTGCTATGACCTTGAACTCCTGCTTCTTCCTCCCTCAATGACTCCCAGAGGGGTGTGTGCCACCACACCCAGCTGCAACTCTTTTTCTGTCTGCTGCATTCTTTCTGGCTAACCAGCCCTACTATTCCTTGTGAAAAACTTTCCAGACATTGGACATCAAGTCACCCTCATCTAGACATTCCTGAGTCCCTTGGGGGCCTGCTCAGGATGCCGTGTCCTTTGGCTCCCAGTGGAAGAACACATTTCTTCTGTCATTCATCCCTCTGAAAATCTAAAATTATACAACGATTTCACTAAACTTTTCCTGGTCCAAGCCTGTACTATCCCAATCACATGTGTGTGGTTTATTGGAAATAAGAAATCCATCCTTCCTCCTCCAATTCTCATATCATTGGGTTTAATTGAGAGTGTGGCCTGTGGGAATTACCTCCTCTGTTCAGTCCTGATCGCTCCAGCCCCCTTGGTTTGCTGCAGACAGGGTTCTGTCACCACCAGAACCTTCACTGATGCCCAGTTAGTGGAGACAAATGAATGGAACCTGGGATGCTTGACTTGGTAAAAGATGTTGAAGAATTAAGTTCTCAGGCTCACCCTTACTGTTATAACTTTTGCAAGGTGGGTTTTATTAGTTGTCCTCTACCTCTGAGATGCTTTAAAAATGGTTTAGAGTTTCTGAGCCTCTCAAAAAGCATTCTTTTCTTCCCTCCATACCTCCCTTCCTTCCTGTTCTCTGTTCATTTTTTTAAGACAGTGTCTTATGTGTATCCCAGCCTGGCTTCCAATTCATGATCCTTCTGCCTCAGACTCCCAAGCACTGGGATTACATGGACCTGCCACCATGCCTGGCTCCCTTTCCTTCCTTCCCTTCCTTCCTTCCTTCCTTCCTTCCTTCCTTCCTTCCTTCCTTCCTTCCTTCCTTCCTTCCTTTCCTTCTTTCCTTTCCTTCCTTTTCTTTTCTTTACAAAGCAGGCCGCTAATCCAGCTTCAGGCTGGTAGCACAATGCATTTGTGTTTCTTTTAAAGTGACACAGGGAAAGGACTCACTGGTGGAAGCCTGCAGTCTCTTTCATAGTTTATGTGGGTCTATTTACAAGACTCTTAGATAAATAATGGCAAAAGATTCAGCATACTTAGCCTGTTTGGTTTTCTGCATTGCTGAGATACAAGTCACGGAGCTCTGTGATGAGGTGTCCCACTGCTGTGACAGCTCTG